TAACCATACGTTCAAAGAGTTTGCAGACACAACTCGTGAGAGCAATAGCCAGATGTCCTGAAGGGATGTCCCGAGAGACCCTGTTTTCCCGAACAGCGAGGACAATGGCATCGATCCAGTCCTCAGAGACTGACGACGACTCCCAGACCTGATTATACAGACTCAGTAAATATTGAGACGTGCATGGAGGGAGATGGTGAAGCATCTCATAATGAATGTCATCAGAGCCTGCTGCTTTAGGGCTAGGACAGACTGAAGTTCAGAGAGAGAGAAGGGATCATTATACGGAAGTCAGAGACAGGTGCAGAAATCTAAAGGATGAGATTCAAGAACAGGCTCATGAAGAAGGTAAGATTGAGGAAGATGAGAACCAGAGCTAACAGATGAAAAGTGGGAACCCAGTTCGGTCGCGACCTGCAACGGGTCCACCACAAGAGTACCATGGAGGGGAAGGACCAGCGAGACATCGAGAACGAACTAACCCGCTATCTTGCGAATACGCTTCCAGATCTGCAGCAAAGGAATTTCGGACGTAATGGTGGAAACATAAGACTTCCAACACTCACGTTTAGCTGTATGGATGGTCCTACGGGCCACTGCACTCACTTTCCGAAACAAAAGAAAAGAATCAGCCATCTGCTGGCGGAAGTGTCTCTTCCAGGCTGCACGCTTACAGCGAACAGCCCGAGTACAGTCCACATACCACCAAGGAATGCAGTTCCGCGTGCCTCGAGAGGTAGAGCGAGGAATAGAGCAGAGAGCAGCATTGAAGATGGTGTCATGAAAAAGGAGGAGAGCACGAGGGAGAGGCAGAATGGAGAGGTCAGAGAGAGTAGCATGGAGGGTAAATAGGTCCCAGTCAGCCTTGGCAAACTGCCACCTAGGGAAGGAGAGGGGAGGGTGAAAGGAGAAAAAGGTAACAAGGATGGGGAAATGTGGGGGTCATCAACAACCCGCCATGCGAAATCCAAGTAAAGAGACGACGAGCAAATAGAAAGATCAAGACAGGAAAGGGTGCGAGTTCGAGAGTCCAAATGAGTGGAGTCACCAGAATTCAGAAGAGATAGGGAAGAAGAGAGGACGAACGGTTCGAGAAGGCGACCTCGGGTGTTTGTCGGGACATCACCCCAGAGGGAATGTCGACAATTGAAATCACCCAGCAGAAGTACAGGCTTTGGCAAGGAGTCCAGCAGGTGCTTAAGATCGGGAAGAGAAAGCGGGACATTTGGGGGGGGAGACAAATAGAACAAACCATGTACCATTTACTCACAAAGACATGGGCAGCAGAACATTGGAGAGGCGATGAAATAAGGAGGGGGATGAAGGGAATATCAGAACGAATCAAAAGGGCAGTAGAGTTATGGGCCCCAGCAAAAGCTGGGGGGGGGGCAGGAGAAAGGAATAGCCACGAAAGTGACAGGACGAGTACCAAGTATCAGCTCCTGGAGACAGACACGAAGGGGCGAAAACTGCAAAATCAGAAGTTGGAGTTCATGGAAATTAGCATAAAATCCACGAATATTCCATTGAAGAATGGACATTGACAAAGAGAGAAAGGACAGCAACAATCACTCAGGGTGAGCAAAGTCAGGGTTAGGGGGCATGGGTAAACTGAGTAAGGATGGAGGGAAGGGAGCGGGAGGACAGACCAGAGGCGGACGGGCAGGGTCTGGAGGAGGAGACAACTGAGAGGGGCAGTCAAGGACAGCAGGAGGAAGAGGGGTAAAAACTGGGGGGGGAGATGTACCTCAGCAAGGGCAGCAACCGAGAGGGAAGCGAGGGCCAAAGAAACCTCCACAGCAAGAACAGCTAGGAGGCCTGACCACCGAAACGGGAGGGGACAGAGTGATGAAATCAGAGGTGGTGGGTGAGGAAGAAAGTGATGCCTTCTTACCCGCTGGGGAGGAGGAAGGAGAGGAACCAGGCTTACGTTTCTGACTCAAAGAGATAGGTGTTCCAGCAACAATGTACTGGGTGACAGATTAGAGTGTCTCAACAGGAGAAAAAGAACGAGAGCGAACAACACGAAGATTGCTGGGAGGATGATTGGACAGGACAACAGCCTATACAGACAGGCGGCGTGGAGAGCTAAGAGACGGGGGAGAAGGTTGGGGAGGAGGATCGGAGGGAGATGAGAAAGAAGACACAGGAGACATGGCTTTCCGGGTAGTAAGAAGGGAAACCCCAGATGGAGAACCAGGAGGGGGACCCGTCGGGACAGAACGTAAAGGAACAGGGGAGGAGGCGATGGGTGTGTCTGGCTCTATGGCCCGGAAACGGTTGTGAGACTGAGGAAGGCGAGAAGGACGAGGAGAGGAAGAGCACAACACGCGAGCATAAGACACGCCAGCAACAGGGGGGGAGACGGCGAACTTGGCACCTCGCCTCAGGAAAAGACAAACGTTCCCGGTGTTGCAAGTTGAGGACGGCTGCCTCAAGTTTGTAATGTGTACATGCGCATGAGAAGGTAGGTTGGTCCTCACTGCAACTGAGGCAGCGAGCCTGGGGAAAAGAGCACTCCGACTTAGAGTGACCAACGTCCCCACACATGGGACAGAGAGAAACAGTACTGGAGCATCTAAGGGCACCATGCCCAAACTTCCAGCACTTATTACAAAGCTGATTAGAGGGAATGTACTCCTGAACGGAGCATCTGACACCAGTAAGAATGATAGAGGACGGAAGGGTCCTACCACCAAAGGTAATTTTCACAACCCGAAGGGGTTAACGGCGACGACTACGAGGGGGTCGAGTAAACCTGTCCACCTGGAGAACAGAATGGCCTTGGGCTTCGAGGATATGTTTGATATCTTCATGACAGTCCTTTAGATTCCTAACACCGGTTGCAACATGGTGTGGGAGAACAGTGCCAACACTGGCATTCAACTGAGCATTCTTGGAGACCCGAACAGGGGTCTCGCCAATGAAGGATAAGGTGGCCAAGCGGGTAGCTGCATCCTGAGAAGCAGCAGCAGCAACTCGCGTACCGGGGGTTAAAAGTAACCAAGGCATCCACTGAATCAACAAGGTGCCTATGGAGGGAGAAATCATCAGGAGTAGAATCCAGATGGTGGAGATCGAATTATTTATTCCACGTAGCAGGACCAAACAAGGTGTGATACGAAATATTATGGGAAGGGAGCGTGCGAGAGCGGCTGTGTTGGGGACGGTGATGAGAACCCCTAGAGAGAGAGAGAGAGAAAGAGAGAGAGAGAGAGAGAGAGAGAGAGAGAGAGAGAGAGAGAGAGAGAGAGAGAGAGAGAGAGAGAGAGAGAGAGAGAGAGAGAGAGAGAGAGAGAGAGAGAGAGAGAGAGAGAGAGAGAGAGAGAGAGAGAGAGAGAGAGAGGAGTTATATGGTGCAGTAGTCACAATTAGAGAGGGAGCTGCACTAGGGGATGAGGTGGTCACCACAGAGGGCTTGGGGCTTAACCCTACCACAGGGGAGGAAGGGGAGCGAGGGGGAGTAGTCTGGTCTAGGCCTAATGTAGCGGGGGCTACAGAGCCTGGTCTTCCATCATAGTCTGACTCAGGGGCCTGGCTGCCCACCCCCATGAGCCTGGGTAAGAGAGGTCGTGTCGTCATCCATAAATCAATCATACTAAAGAGTCTGGGGCCTGGAACCAAGGGATACCATCTACCAGGGCAGCCAGGGAGGCCGAGCACGGGCCCGTGCAGGAAGGTTGCATCGTCCCCAGCGGTGCTCCTCCCTGTTTTAACAGGGCAGTTCTACTGCATCGTCCATTCTCCCAAACTGGTGCTAAGACCCCATTCCCCCTATCGCCCCAGCCTGGACACCCAACCATCCACACAGGGCAGCCCAACATGGGCGACCCTTCCAGCGAGCGGTCCGATGAGTCACAAGGCCCCCAACATGATGCCCATCTGCACATACAACACCCAAAGAGGGGGCAGGAGAGGGGGTGAAGACAACCCTCACCGGTCCTAGGGAGGTGTATGTGAGCCCTCACCACGACAAGACGACACCACAGAGGGGGATCAGCTGATCAAGCAGGCAGCAAGCCACATGGGAGAGGGGTCTCTTGTATTGTCATTGTGGGCTGGTGTGGATGCTCCCTTTCTTTCTTCTTACCTTCTTCCCTCCTTATTCTTTACTAAAGAGATCAGTAAGAGCGTTTTTGTTCCGTGCCGCTCATTGTTCTAAGTGTATTTTTGTCTGTCCTTCCTAGTCAGATACTTTGAGTTCCAAGTGATATATTAGTGATATTACATTTAATGGAGTGTGTCCCTTAAGGCAAAAGTAGACTTTACCACTAGTGTGCTGTATGTAAATCTTGTCTCCTGCCCATGTAAAGTCAGAGAGGTAACGTAAGATCGAGGTAGTAAAGTATTTATGTTGTACTTGGGGTTAGAAGGGGGGGAAGAGGGGTTTAGGGTTAATAAATTATATTAAGGTAAATTTCAGCTGGAGGTTCCATCACCTCTCTTGCATTGGGTTAGGTGATCTGCTCTAAACGACAGACCATTATAATTATTATTCTATTTGCTGGGAATGGTTAGGAAAGCTGGACCTTTCCTAACTCCATTAGGTGCAACCCCCCCCCCTCCCCTTACCCTGATATACCACACAAAACACTAACTTAACAAAAGATAACATTAAAATAAATACAGTATGGTGAATGAAGAAAAAAATAATAGTAGTCTTAACATTTTGATTACCCGGTAAATATTTGTTTGGGTGTAATGGTGTCACATTTGTCAAAATTTTTATAATTAACTAATATTTGTATATAATAAAAAGGTTTACCATTTCATTAGGTAATATTAACAAGAGATATGTTAAATCAGGTAATTTCAGGTAAATCTTGAGTAATTATAGAAATTTATAAACAAAACTCAATTTCCTTAAATTTCTAGTGAAAAACGCCATATGACGCAAGCCGCAATTACCTCAGGTGAATCAAAACACGTCATATGACGTAGGCCGTCGTCTAAGGGTTAAGTGAGAGATATGAGGAGAGATAGAAGACCCTCGGAGTTACCATGAAGGCTGCTGGGTGGTTCTTGGTGACGGTCAGCTGTGTGGTGGTGGTGGTGGTGGTGCTGGCGGAGGTCTGTGCTGACACTGAGGGTGCTGCTGTTGCTGCCACTACTCAGAGAGAGCCTGGTGCAGCTGGAGCCATCTCCATTCCAGTGGCGGTTCAACTGGCTCCCATTGTAGCTCAAGGTGGAAGTGGGTGTGGTGCTGATGTAGTGTGTGGCTGTAGTGGTAGGTGTGATGATGGGTGCTGTTGTGGTGGTGGTGGTGGTAGAGAGCGAGTGCTCTTGGGATGCACTCCTGGTGTCAGGAGCAGGTGTGGATGTAGGGAGGAGGTTGGTGGTGGTGTTGGGGTGGCACACGGGTATTGTGTTGGTGGTTGATGTGATGCTGGAGGTTGGTGTGGGGCTGGTGGGCATGATGTGCGTGGCACGGGCATGGAGGCAGGGCGTGCAGATGGTATGCAGGCAAGGGAGGAGGCGTGGCTCTACCCAACCACGTCCACACGCACCACACTCACTCATCCTGGAATTAGAAACGTGTGATATTAGTAATGTCACAAACTATTATATACCACCGTCCCACCACCCTATCTAACCTCCATGAACAAAATTCAAGGGCATGTAGGGAGGGAACAGAGCATAACCTAAGGTGGCAGATCACAGGGACGGTGAATGTACACTCCTAGGTAGCAAGAAGGGTGAGAAATGCATAAAGGAGTGAGGAACGTAAGGGCCAGGGGCCAGATTCACGAAAGCAGTTACGCAAGCACTTACGGACGTGTACATCTTTCCTCAATCTATGACGGCTTTGGTTACATTTATTAAACAGTTTGCAAGCATGAAAACTTGCCAATGAACTGTTGTTATTGTTATAAACATCCTCCTGGTGCTTCGGAGCTCATTAACTGTTTAATAATTGGAAACAAAGCTGCCAAAGATTGAGAAAAGATGTACAGGTTCGTAAGTGCTTTCGTGAATCTGGCCCCTGATGGATAAGGTAGGGAAGGGTGCAAGAAGCAGGTAACTGTGTGAAGTTACAGATATAAGAGTGAAGTGGGGGTGCACAATAGGTTTATTTGTTTACGTAGAGCTTTTGCCACCATTAACCACAGTAAACTTCTCTAACTGCAACACTATGGAGTCAAGAGGTCACTCCCTTCAGTACTTACAATCTTGCCTGACTGAGAGGGTCGAGTCTGTGTCTGTGAGTGACGGTAACTCTGCCAACTAACACTGGCCCTCCACAGGGCAGCATTCTTGGCACACTCTTCTTTCTCATTTACATCCTGATGCCACTCAGAACTTGAAGCCAGTCATATTTGCTGATGACACAACCTTCATTTTCTCAAATGCTAACCAACTTATTCTAAATGACAAGGTGAATACTGAACTAAACAACTCCATCTCTGGCTAATGGCTAACAAACTAAGCCAGAGCTAACAAACATTGACAAAACATTTTATATACTGTTTCATAACACGTCTACCAAAATAACCTACACATTAACAGTTCCCAAATACTGTGTAGAGTAGATGGTAAAATCCTTGATGTTCACATTGACAATAAGCTGAACTTCCATTGCCACATACAAAATATACACAAAAAAGAATGGAGAGAGAGAAGTGTGGGCCCTCAGTAAGGGTTTAATATCTTCCAATTCTAGTCCAACCACTTGGGCTGGACGGTAGAGCGACGGTCTCGCTTCATGCAGGTCGGCGTTCAATCCCCGACCGTTCAAGTGGTTGGGCACCAATCTCTTTTGCTCCTCCCATCCCTAATCATTATCCTGACCTCTTCCAAGTGCTATATAGTCGAACTGACTTGGCGCTTTCTCCTGATAGTTAGTTCCCTTCTCTTCCATTCCAGTTCTAATCAAATCAAATGTTTATTCAGGTAAAGTACATACATACAAGGTGAATGGGTTCGTATCCTGGCCGGGGAGGATTTACTGGGCACAATTCCTTAACTGTAGCCTCTGTTTAACGCAACAGTAAAATGTGTACTTGGATGAAAAAAACTATTCTTCGCGGCAGGGGATCGTATTCCAGGGACCATAGGATTAAGGACTTGCCTGAAACGCTACGCGTACTAGTGGCTCTACAAGAATGTAACAACTCTTGTATATATCTCAAAAAAAAAAATACAAACATTGATAGATCTATAGATCGAGCTAGTACATACAATACCTAAAGCCACTAGTACGCACAGCGTTTCGGGCAAGGTGTGGGGAACAAAACACTTATCTCAATTACTAATAAGTGTTAGTCTAAGTGTAAAGTGTCTTGGAAGGGGGGGGGGGACATGGCAGTAATCAGTAACTTGACAAGTTGGTCAACAGTGTTGTTTGAAAATAGCAAGACATGGGTTGATATTTAGGGGTAAGGAAGGTTACATGGAGTTAATTAGGTAGTGTTTAGTTTTTATTTATTTATTTATTTATATATATTATATATATATATATATATATATATATATATATATATATATATATATATATATATATATATATATATATATATATATATAACAGATGGGTCCCCACATTGGCACCAGAGGTGGTACCCTCACAAACTTTTATATATATATATATATATGACTGAAATGTTTGATTTGGTGAAATGATTTGGTGAAATGCTATGCCCAAGATTACCATCCGAGTTGCCGGCGGGGAAGTGGTTCAAATAGCTTCGGCTACCACTTCCTTTTGTCCGGCCGTGATGGTCAAGCGGATTAAGGCGCCCTGTAGTTACCAGTTGCGTTGCTCCTGGGAGTATGGGTTCGAGTCACTTCTGGGGTGTGAGTTTTCAGTCGCATATAGTCATGGGGACCATTCAGGCTTGTTCGCATATATATATATATATATATATATATATATATATATATATATATATATATATATATATATATATATATATATATATATACACAAGAAGGTACATTGGGTTTGTGAGGATACATAGTACTGTGTTAACGTTCTTGTAAAGCCACTAGTAAGAGCAGCGTTTCGGGCAGGTCCTTAATCTAACAGATAATTTTAAGTAGGTTAATTCTAGCAAAATTTAAAGTGATAACAGGTAAATTGCAAAGAAAAAATGAGATGAGAGAAACTAGTAGGTATATTAAAGCACATCAGTAGCTCTGATTGATTGCTCTGACAGCTTGATTGGTAATATAACAAAGATTCGTATGCACAATACAGCATATTAAGAGCACATATAAGACAGCAATGAACACAATGGTAAAGTTGTTTGGATTAGGTACATAAAGATTGAGAGATTGGGTAGTACTAGATACAGAGCAATTTGATAGCACAAGGAAGGAAACTATGAGGATGAAATTATGTACTTTTTAGTATTGTTTTTGAATGAGGCAAAAGTTTGACAGCTTTTCAATTCACTAGGGAGTGAGTTCCATAGACTAGGTCCCTTTATTTGCATAGAGTGTTTACACAGATTAAGTTTGACTCTGGGGATATCAAAGAGATATTTATTTCTGGTGTGGTGATAATGGGTTCTGTTACAACCTTCTATGAAGCTTTTGAGATCAGGATTGGCATTATAGTTTAGCGTTTTATATATGTATAATACACATGAGAGAATGTGCAGTGACTTAATATCTAACATATTCAGAGATTTGAGTAGGGGTACCGAGTGATGTCTGGGGCCAGAGTTAGATATTGTCCTAATAGCAGCTTTGTGTTGAGTAATTAGAGGACGTAAATGATTTTGGGTAGTAGAACCCCAAGCACAAATACCATAGTTGAGACATGGATAGGTGAGGGAGTAATAGAGAGTCACCAGGGCAGGGCGGGGTACATAATATCTGATCTTAGAAAGAATGCCCACAGTTTTAGAAACTTTTTTTGATATATTTAGAATGTGTCCCTGGAAATTCAGCTTGTGGTCAATGAGAACGCCAAGGAATTTGCCATCTAATTTGTTACAAATTTGGGTATTGTTTATTTTGAGATTTATATGACTAGAGGATTTATTACCAAACAGAATATAGAAAGTTTTGTCAATGTTAAGGGTGAGTTTGTTGGCAGTTAGCCACAGATGGACTTTATTTAGCTCAGTATTCACTGTGGCATTTAGAGCAAGGGGGTCAGGACTGGAGTAAATGAAGGTTGTGTTGTCAGCAAATAGAATTGGTTTGAGGTGTTGGGAGGCATTTGGAAGGTCATTAATGTAGATGAGAAAGAGGAGAGGGCCAAGTATGCTGCCCTGAGGAACACCAATGTTGATGGGTAGGGTGGGAGAAATTGAATTATTCACAGAAACATACTGGAGCCTGTCAGTAAGGTAAGATTTGAGGTATTGCAGGGAGTGTCCTCTGACTCCATAATGATGTAATTTAAGAAGAAGGTTTTGGTGGTTGACAGTATCAAAAGCTTTACGCAGGTCCACAAATAACCCATCTGTACACCAGTTGATTGACAGTTGAGAGGCGGGACCAAAGAGCCAGAGCTCAACCCCCGCAGGTACAACTAAGTGAGTACAACTAGGCGACTACACACATACACCACACACATAGGGGCCTGGTGGCTGAGTGGACAGCACTCGGGATTCGTAATCACTGAGTCTGGGGACCAATCCCCGACGATGGCAGAAGCAAATGGGCAGAGTTTCTTTCACTCATCTGCCCCTATTCACCTAGATAGATGCCTGGATAGCAGTAGATAGGTACCTGGGAGTTCGACAGCTGCTATGGGCTGCTTCCTGAGTGTGTGTGGGGGGGGGAATTATTGATTGACAGTTGAGAGGCGGGGACCAAAGAGTCAGAGCTCAACCCCCACAAGCACAACTAGGTGAGTGCGTACACACACACACACACACACACACACACACACACACACACACACACACACACACACACACACACACACACACACACACACACACATACATTCAGTGTGAGGCACTGAATGCCAGTTTCCATGGAGTGTTCACTACCGAGCCTGAGCAGCTCCCATTGTTAGAAGGGGTTACCCTAGATGAGAGACTATCAGATATAGAGGTGACAGCAGAGGAGGTAATGAAACAGTTGACAACTCTAGATGCAACTAAAGCAGTTGGACCAGACAAAGTATCACTGTGGATACTAAAAGAAGCAGTGCAGGCCCTCAGCGTGCCTTTGGCAATGATCTTTAATGAGTCACTTATGTCGGGAGAATTGCCCAGTTGCTGGAAGAAGGCAAATGTCGTGCAGATCTTCAAGAAAGGTGATAGGGAGGAGGCACTTAACTACAGACCTGTATCACTGACAAGCATCCCCTGTAAAATACTGGAAAGAATAATTAGGCTACGACTGGTTGCACACCTGGAGAACATTAGGTTTGTGAACAAACATCAACATGGGTTCTGGACAAGGAAATCGTGCCTAACAAACCTTCTGGAATTCTATGATAAAATAACGAGGATAAGACAGGACAGAGATGGTTGGGCAGACTGCATATTTCTGGACTGCCAAAAAGCCTTTGATACAGTACCGCACATGAGACTGCTGTTTAAGCTCGAGAGGCAA